TTTATAAAGAATATTGTAAAATAAGATGAAGGGTATCAAAATCCATACCAGAGATAACTTGTCATTCATGAATTAGTATGGAATGCCATCCTCCAATAAATTCTTGAATTACTTGTATGAACTACACAGATGAAATTAGGGTCCAGAGCCCTGCTGACACTTTTTTTTTTGGGTCGAGAATGACAAGTAGTTTCTGCATATATCAATTAATTTAAATTAAATTTTAAATATTAAACTCTAAAAATTTATAAGTTTGTCTCTTAATTTTATTATATTATTGTAATGAATTTTTATTTTTTTTAAATTTTAATATGATTAAAAAATAAATAAATTTATTTTTCTGTTAAAATGTGAACATAAGTTGCAAATTCATCACAATAAAATTATAAAATTAAGAGTTAAATTTTTAAATTTTAAAGCTTGACACTTAATATATAATTTAAATTTATTAATTTTCTTAAGATCTCTTTATCATTCTTCCTTTTTTCTTAGCAATCATCCAAGAATCTTGAAGTTTATGCGTTCGGTATAATAAAAGTTGAAATATGAAAAAAAAAAATTGGCCCAAAATAAAAAGTAACTTGAACTAAAATATTACTCTTACATCGTAATTTAAAAATTACAGTAAATTAGAAAAAATAGAAAAAATTTTAAAAATAAAAATAAAATTTTTTCAATTTTTTAAGCAAATTAAAAAATTATTTGAGCAAATATTTTGAATTTCAATATTTTTAAAACTTTTTTCTTTTTATTTAAAAAATTGAAATCTTTTTTATCTGTTTTTATTTTTTTAATTTTTAACATACTGGTTAATATGGGATAAAATATAATTATGTTTAATTTAGCATATTAGGATTATATAATAAAGATATTTAAATAAGAATATTGATTCATTAGATTAGCTTTGATTATTTATTTTATTTTTATCTTAAATATTAGTATCTTTAATATTTTATTTTGATTTAGGATTTGGGTTTGAATTTAAATTATCAATATTTTATTATTTTTAGATCTCTACAAATAAAGTTAGAATTTTCATTTATATTTAATTTTTAAGTATTATTAAATAAGAGTTTTTGAGAATTTTCCTCTTCCTTTTCTATCACTGCCCCTCTCCTCTTCTTATTTTACATTACATGCACTATATTTGATTATTATAAACTATCTTTAATTATAACAAATCATTATTATATGTCACTACTATTAACCACCTACAATCACTACTAAATTAGTCCTTAAAATTTCTATAATTATATGGAAAGATAAAAAAAAGGGAAAATTGCTATAAAATACTCCACCAAATTTGTGTTTTCTCACAAGTACTTGGGATATTAGGCCTTTTGCTAACATTAATTCAGATTTTCAAATGATCAAATTGCCCTTGTAATTAAAAAAATAAAAATTGACAAAGTTTTTTACTGTCAATAATTTCATGTCAATACTTAATACAAGATCCTTTAGTATCAATATGTCAAACAAGGTTCTTTAGTGACAATTTATTGAGTCTTGAAACACATATAAAGCATATGTTGTGTTTATTTTATATATTCAAACATCCTTTATTAAAATTTGTCATGAACACATTTGAATACATATGCGATATTTGTGATTGCTTCTCAACATATGCACTTTTTTTTTCATATATTTAAATATTACTTATGCATATTCAAATATTTCTTGTTAAAATTCCTTTAGATGCATATGCGATATTTCTTTCACGATATGCGACTGCTCTTTAAAGAAATACAAATTTCTTCTATATATTCAAATATCACAAACGCATATTCAAATAAATAGAAGAAAAGTTATATTTTTTAAAGGATGGTTGCATATCGTAAAAAAAGAGTCACATATGATTGAAGATATGCATATATCCCTAAAACATGATGTCAAGTGCAAAATTTTCAAGATATCCAAAATAGCAATTCAAATAAATGAAAGAAAAATTATATTTCCTTTGATGGTGGTTGCAGATCATGAAAGAAAAATAGCATATAGTTAAAAAAAATGGTCATTCGAATAAATGGAAGCTAAATTACATTTTTAGGATATTTAAAATGCATGTTCAAATATGATTTAAAACTTAAAGTTTGAATATTGCACCAATATTATGTTTTAAGAATATTACAAATGTATATTCTAAAAATTATTTCTTTTTTTCACGAAAACACCCAAGTATATTCTGAAAAACATAAATGATTACTTTAAAAATTTACTTACTTTTCATAAAAACAACTATGAATGTTTTGAAAAAGTAGATGAATATTATAACAATTTGTTCATTTTTCATAAAAACATTAAAGGATATTTTCAGTGGTCACTATTATTATATGTAAAGTTTAATCACACCAACTAAAAGCATAAAGAACAACAATTGAACACGAACAAATCCATTTATCATTAAATAATAATATGTTTTTACATCTATTGGCAACATAAACTATATTACATTATACATGAGAATATTGACTTGTATAATAGTATGAATATTTATAAAATGATACATATATTGGCACAAGAATTCTAATTTATTTTTCCTTCTTGACTACTTTGCCAACTAAAATACATTATGGCACCTCCTCTCAATTTTTATTCTTCCCATGTTATGTAGTTGAATGGTTGCCCTTTCGGGTGGATTTGCTTGCTACTAAAAATAACATAACTTATTTGAGATAATCCAAAGTATTTTATCAACTGCACTATTAAAGCCAATCCAAATCCACAAAAGAAGAAAATTAGCAAGACACTAAGATCTTGTTTGGTATGCAAGCTTTAATTTAGAGAGATTAGGATCGACAGTAGGAACGGGAGTGAGAATGAAGCTTTAAAATTATATTTGATATAAAGTAATATTTATAGGGAATACTTATTTTTATTTTATAATTAAACAAAATTTATGAAAATACTATAATACCCCTCAAAAAATTAATTTTATATTTTATTTCATCATCTAAACACTCCTTCTCCGCTAAAAAGAATGTCCATGGCCATGCAAGAGAAGCTCCTTCCACTAGTTATTTTTTCTTCTTCTTGTTGCTCGTCTCTCCTAAAAAGAACATCTATGGTTGTGCATGAGAACCTTGTTGCCACCCTTTCCTCTGTTTTTCCTTCTAGTTTGAATTAAGATTATGAGAATGGTGAGGATGCAAATGACAGCGAAGACAACGACGATGGCGAGATTAGGTGACTATAGCTTAGGTTCAGATTGATTATGTAAAAGGCATCGTCGATCGTTCTTCTCCTTCTCTCATCTTCAATCTCCTCCTACTCCCTTCAAATTTGACGACGACATTAGCGGATGAGAGACCAACATCAATAGAGGAGAGGCCAGCATTGCTTGGTCTAAATGGCGGGCAAAAAGAGAGAGATAGGATGGAGACGCTGACTAAGGAGAGGGTAGAGGAAGGGAGTATGAGGGTTAATTTGCTTTGAAAATAATCAATCTCGAAATTAATTTTTCAATATTAGAGGTAATGGGATTGAGTAATCCCACCTAGATGAAATTGGTATTAAGATTCAATTTTCTATTCCTTCATACCAAACATGAAAAGGTAGGATTATCTAATCCAATTCAAATCTTACTCTCCCATTCCTTCCTCCCAAATAGGACCTAAGGATGAAGCAGTCAGCTAGAAAGCTTCACCAAATGATTACAAATGTTATATATTAATCTCTCATGTTAAAGGACATTATTTAAAGTATTAGAAATCTAAAATAGTCTCTTAGTGTTGATACACATCCAAAGTAAAGAATTAAGAGAGAACTACAGACAATAGTCCGGAATTCGATCTTTTTGGCTTTCCATTCTCACAATAATAGTAGGTATGGTGGACACATGCAAGTAACAACTTGAGCTTTTGCAGTGATGATTAAGAAAGCAAATGGTCTCTCATATTTGGGGGAACCAACTAAGGCCAACGTATATGCATTTTACTAGTGCTGAATTGGTTCCATCCATCACCAGCTTCCATCATTTCAACAAACATCTTATGCCAATTCATTTTCAAAGCAAGATTACAATTCAGCATTAGAAGAGTTGAGTTATGACAGTCTCAAAACTTGCACCAAGACCGCTGCAGACAGCAAAATAAACAAATCCATTTGATTTATTGCCCCTCCCACCAAAATAATCGTGACCTAACATAGACAAAATGCATATATACGAGCACTTGTTAATGATTCATAAAAGTAAGGGGAGGAGGGTGTTGTTCTGACATGACTCACTAATTCCAACTTTAATTTGCTGCTCTAATTCTAGCCCTCAGTTCATCACCAGCTAAGGAGTGTATTAATCTAATATAGGTTATCTCTTTGTAACAAGAGTGTATTGTTCCAAACAAAAACGACTAGCTTAAGCCTCATGACATACATCAATCATATTAGAGAAATATAAGAATTATAGAACATTAATGAAGTAAGAGGGTTTTGCAGTAGTTTCATTTCCATTGCTTCCATTTCAAGTGGCATGGACTTCCCAAAAGCTGATGATAAAGGAAATAGCAGTAGTGAAGATAAAGAAGGATGATGATTGGGGAGGAAGGAGCGGTGATGATGAACAGAGTGGGGAGTAGTGATCTGATAAACGAATTTTAGGGTTCATAATTTAAAATAAGCGTTGCATGACTGAAAATAACAATTAAAGACGGAGGATGGGCGAGACTTGCTGGTTGCCACCTACCTTACCTTACTGACCATCATCGCCATCACTGTCAGAATCACGGCTAGTCAAAACACTACAACAAATTGATCACATTGCACGAGATAGGCTGGAGAGGACAGAGAGGAAGAGAATTTGGTGAAGGTAATTTAATCATTTACCATCTAATGCCACCACGAAACCTTAGTCCTTCTTTAATTTTCAAGTTCCTCTCTACAATTAAATTTATGGTCGAGTATTTTAGGGCAATATTTTCTTTAAAAAAATCATATAATTTAAAATTTAACAGATAAAATGCTTTTTCCAGAACATCATGTTATTTAAGAATCATAACAAATAACAATAAAACTTATCTTAAATTTAAAACTAAATATATAAAATCCACATCTAGTTAAATAATAATAACAAAAATATAATGCATATCACGAAAAAAAAAAACACAAATTTCATAATCCTACACCCCAAACATCATACATACCTTATAGGAAGTATTGCCATCAACGTTCCAATATCATCATTTGAAAGGGGAAAAAAAAAAAAGGGAAAGAAGCAGTAGCAGCTTGAACTAACTATGATACTACTTTGACCTGAGAGTCAAAGTATTAAGATCAGGACCCCATAAATCAGGAAGCAACTGGATTGAGCAGAAGATTATTGTGTTCTTGTCTCTGACTCTGATTCTACTGAAAGCTCGAGCCTGGTGTATACATCGCAAGGTCAGACCACTCGTTACCGCTATTCCAATAGCTCGATTCACCATTCTGCAAACCCAGAAACCTCTCTGAATCACCATTACTCTGCATCTCCGAACCCGGGTCCACAACCCGTCCAACAGTGCTCGCATTCGTCCCAAATTCACCCGATTCCATCATTTTCAAACCCGACCCATTTGGATCCAGACCCTCCAAAACACTCCCCAAATGCCCAGTTGATGATGATGCCAGAAGCGAACTGAAATTTTGACTTGTCAAGTCGGTATAAACAGGGGTCGGGTCTGCGCTGCCAGGGACCGACGGAGAGGAATGTGAGGATGGTGTTGCGGATAATCGTTTAGCGCTACTAGATGATCGTTTTGTGTTCTTCCGGCTCCCGCCACCGACGGGTATGTTGCGGAGAGTGCCTCCTTTGGTCCAGTACCTTCTACAACTCTTGCAGAAATGGCGTGGCTGCGAGAGATTGTAATTGTTGTAGTAGCAGAACTTGGTGTTCATGGAATCACAACGTGGGCACTTGAGCTGTTCTTGTTCAGGGAATCCATGGCTTTTCTTGGATTGAAATGCCATTGGATCTTGCATAGCAATTGTTGTGTTTGTGATAATTACTCGGTGAAAAAAGGAAGACGGTTTTGATAGGTGTGAAGAACAAGGCTCAGAGTTTAAACCTTTCAGAGGACAATTTAGAAGCTTCAAAATAAATTGTTGGGGATGTTGTGATCTAGAAGGACTTCAATTATTATTACAACTGTGTGTGTTTGTGAAGAATAAACTGAATGAGAAGGGAAGATGGTTTGATTGGTCTGTGGAACAAGATTCAAAGTTCACTTCAAACCTCTGAAGGGAAATTTAGAAGCTTCAAAACTGGATTGGGTGACACAATATGATTTGATTTTCGTCCCAGGACAAAGGAAGACACACACACACACACACACACACACACACACACACACACACACTAGCTTTTGATGAAGCTATGAAGAGGCACAAAAAGGTGGGATGATTTTCAGACCTTCAAATTTAAATGAACTTCCAGATTGAAGCAGAACAGAGAATCAATATCACGTAAAAGCAGCAAAGCAATAAAGGAATAGGGTAATTCAAAAGTTTCAAAGAAGATTGGCTGGCATATTATGATCTAAAAGGACTTGACTTGCAAACACTTTTCTGTGTCAATGGACAGAACTGAAGGAACAGGGCAAAGGAATTTGGTTAGTTTAGAAAACTAAGATCAGAGTTCAAACCTTTCAAGGATATGTATTTCAAAACTCCAAAGTACGAGTTGGCATGTTAGATCAGAATTGAGCTCCAGGACAAAAAGTTTTGATGAAACTGTGAAAGAGGACAAAAAGTTGGGATAGTTTTCAGACCCTTTATTAAATGAGATTTTGACAGAACATATCAGTGCCACACACAATAAAAGCATCAAAATTTCATGATAAATAAGCCAAAAGACATAGGAAGATACATGCAGAGAGAGTTGAGTTGATAGGGATATATTGTGTGGAAGGAGAAAAGTGAAGATGATACCAGAGTTTGAGATGTGAATTATTCCGAAAATGGTGAGGCAGAGGCAGATGAACCATCGACCACTAAATGCGTGAGAGTAACGACCAACCCTCCCTTTTGCTTGCTTGCTTGCTTGTTTGTTTTATTTTTTTTTTTTTGGGGGGGGGGGGGGAGGTGGGGGGGTAATTGCAATTGGGTTCAGCAGTTGAGCTGGGCTGGGCTATCTATCTCACCCTTTCCATAAATTCTTATATTCAGTAAATCAGAAAAAATGAAAATTAAATTTAAAATAAAGTAATTATTTACATATATATTAATTTTAAATAATTATTTATATTTTTCAAACTATATTTTAAATTTAAATTATTATAAAAGTGTTTTAATTTAACATAGTAATGAATTTAAAATATTATTGTGAAATTAAAAATATTATATTGTGACTTTTAGAAATATAAATATTATTTTTGAAATAGTTTATTTTCACAGTTTTTATAAAATTTATTAATTTTAAAACATTAAATTATACTCCTCCATTCTTGAAGCACGTTTTAAAAGATTAATTTATTTTTATTTATAAATTACGGTATAATTTTTTAGATAATTTTTAAAAAATATTTTTAAAATTATCCTTTATAAAAAATAATATAATATTATTTTTAAAATTTATTATATAAAAATATATTAAAATTTTATATATGTTTATTTTTTATATTATTTTTATATTGATATTGGTTAAGTTGATAAAAATAATCTATAAAGAGAATTATACTAATCATGTTTAAAAATAAAAAACTGGCAACCATAATTGATGTAGTGAATAATGATTACTTATGACCGACATTGATAGAAGCTTGACTTGAGCAGAGCTGTGCGTGACGACAGCTTGCCCTGGGAGTGGAAGGCATCATGAGGTTTCACTAGCGAATCGAAACCGTTAAATATTCCAGATGACGGATTCGGAACTTTCACGTGTCAAAATCGTATCGATCTGTGTCACATCGTTGCGTTCACTTGCGGTCACCCATTGCATGTGTACACGTGGCCGAACCCTATGATTGACATAAGCACTTGGAAGTAGAAAGTGCCTGACAGCTAAATGAGCCAAAATTTTATGACACTGCAACAATGGGATCCATTTCAGGAATAAATATATTTGGATCCATTCCCACATGCTATTTAAAAATTAGTCATTCTTATTTTATAAGTTATTTTTAAAGGTGATTTAATATTTTAAAATATAAAAAATTTTAAGAAAAATAAGATATTATTAATAAAAATATTATTCAAGAATTGTTGGGGGTATTTAATATTAAACAAATACTAAAAGATTTAGAAATATCAACACAGGATTAAAGAACTAATTTAAAAATAATTTTAAATAAAAAATATTATAATATCTCCACATTTTTTTAATTATGAAGTATCAATTTTTTAATTAATAAATAATTATTTATATTTAATAAAAAATTATTCATTAATTAACAAGTTCAAAAATTTAAAAGAGTTTACTTTGATTTTGGGAAGAGATAAATATAAATCATGTTTCAACAAATAATCATTTGATAATTAACAAGTATCAATTTATATTTAATAAAAATTATTTATTAATTGATAAGTTCATAAATTTAAAAAAGTTTGTTGTGGGAAGGAATAAGTTTAGATTATATTCAAATAAGTAATTATTTGTTAATTAACAAATATTTATTCGTATTTAATAAAAAGTCATTCGCTAATTAATAAGTTAAAAAAAGTAAGAATATTATATTTTTTATCTAAAATTATTTTTAAATTAGTCCCATAGACTTGCAGTGATATTTCAAATTTTTTTTTATCCTTGTTTAATATTAAATATCCTAAATGATTCTTGAATGATATTTTCCTTTATTAATTATAATTATTTTAATATTACCCTTCATTATTTCACTTTTGAATAAAGTCCCTTCCCCCACTCCCTTATTGACGAAGGGTGTTTTTGAAAATTTACAAAAAATATTAAGATTCTAAGTTTTATTTAACAAATTTCATTAGTATGTATAATTTTACTAAAAAAAATGTCTTCTACATTGGAATGAGAGTATTTTGTATGAACAAATAAATAATTAATAACTTTTTGAGAGAATGATAATTAAGTCTCAGAATATTAAATTAATGATAGTTAAGTCCTTACCAAATTTTTTTAAAAAAATAGGTTAAAAGTATGATCCAGATAATTGCAAATTTAAGAGTTTCAATTATAAATAAGTATTTAATATCAAATGTAACTATTAGATTATAATATATATTTTTGTTTTGTAACTAATTTAATTGATATTTACAACTAATTTTTTTTTAAAAAAATTATCGAGAACATAATTGATATTAATTTAACCTTTTGGGGACTTAAATATCATTCTCCCTATTTTTTAATATAATTTTACCATTTTACAATTTTATATGAGTAAAGCAAAAAGTTAGCAATAAGAAGATGTGTTTTTAAAAATGATACATTTAATAAAATAAAATTAATTTTTTTAAAAAATATCAATAATTTAACTGCATCTCAATAATTTCAATGAATTAGTAGTTAAAAATGACCTAAACATAAAACTGAAATGAATTTTTGTTAGGTTGAATCTGGCAAATTCTCAACCGTTAGAATTGGAATTATGTATTAAAGCAAGAATAAGTAACAGTTTACCGTCGTTCAGTACATGCCAATTGTTAAATTTTAATGCATTGAATTATGGATTTAGATGCTGCATCCACTCATTTAATGAATATATCAATTTGACAAAAGAAAGAAAAAATTATAATAATTAAATTTTATCAATACTTAACAATTATTAAAATATACCTTCTTTCATAAATTCAAAATAATTTCCATGATGAAAACATTCTATGATGTCTTCTCAAAAGATTTGACATTTAATATTTTTTTAAATATTATATAACATAATCTCTTACACTTTTGTTTGACTCGTTGAATTCAAATCCTTAAATTGTGGTTTAATTGCAACTATGTGTTGGTTTACTTGGAAATCTCACAATTTTATGATTTTTGAAGCTATTCCTCTGGAACTTGGTAGAGTTATTGGATAAGCAACTTGTTTTCCAGCAGAATCTTGGTGTGTAAATGGTTGGGATCTTTCTCACTTTCTTTTAAGAATAATAATGTAACGCTAATAGCTTTGCAGAGTTGTAGTCCAATAACATATTAGTTCTTCCGGAGCTTGCGGGTTTGATCGTCTTCATCTTTGTAGAGTTATTAGTGTATGCCTTTCTAATTACCCAAAAAAAAAAAAAAACAAAGAATGACCGTGTAAATGTTAATGCATGCTGCGATAACCAGTGGTTATGGTTTTTTTTTTTAATTTGTTTTCGAGAGATGATAATGTGTGTATTGATAATGGACAAAATCTTTTAAAAATAAATATCAATAAATCTCATTAAATATATTTAATTTTATTTTTTAAAATAAAAATATAAACTTTTAAAAATACTTATCATTTAATATATTAAAAATAGAAGGGATAGAAATTAATTATAGAGAGAGAAGAAGTAATATTGAAATAAACCTATTTAATAAAACTTTAATTTTTTTAAAATATCTTATATTTTGGGATATCAAATTTTTTTCAAAAATATTTTATAATTTTAGATAGATAAAGTATTTTGTTTTGTCCCAAAAAAAAACTAAATTTATATTCAAATAACAGATGATCTTCTTCGGCCAAAGAGAATGTAGATTCTCGGAATGTAATATTTTTATGTTATTAGAAGAATTAATGTTTGACGTTTACACATAAAGAATTAATGTTTGACGTTTACACATACTTCCACCTCACCCTTGTGATCTAGCCCTGGTGGTCTAATAGGATACATTACGTTTAAAAAATATATTATTTTATTTATTAAATACATAAGTTTAAAAACTATATTCAAATTATAACTTAAAGCTAATAGGACTAACACAGCTGACTCTTTTAACTTACATGTGGGCTCATTCAACTGGTGAAGTAAATAAATCAGGTACGTTTGATTTTACTAAAAAGAAGAACATTGATAGGAAAAATCTCTAGTCCACTCGAACGGCTCTTAAGTCTTAACCAAAGTCTCAGTTCATTGACCTCGAAGAACCTGAGTTATGGAATATGGATAGGTGCGTTTGAAATTATTGGTGAGTTGTCGGCATCAAATCAGAGTTGATTCAGGATGGTGACGTGGCTGTGGTGAGTGGGTCCCGCTAATTAATTGCACGGCTTTGACGTGGATGAGTGGGATGATGAAAGTCAAAATGGGCCCACCTATTCAGTGCTAGCGGCTGACTATCTTTGACATGCGTACTGTTACATTATTACACGTGATCCTAACTAAACCATGTCAGCCTGCCTGTTTGGAGGATGACAACTAAATCTCAAAGAGATGAAAGTTCATTTTTGCTTATGGGGAGGAGCACGTAATAGCCTAAAGTATTTATCATAATAATATTACCCTTTAAATAATTAAAATGAAGCAATTTTATCCCAAACGTAAAATCTCCCTAAATGCTATTAGTCAAACTTGGTTGAAAACACATGACGATGGCTTTGGCTAAATGCTATGAAGAAGAAATATGGCCGTTTCCTCACTTCATCGTCATACACTCTTGCCCTGTGAGTGCTAGGGATTCGAAGTAAGAGGATGAGGATTTTGAAATCAAGATTACATGGCGATGGAGAGGATGGGATCGAGGCGATGAGGAAGAAGATATAATGTTTGATCTAAAGACGGCGTTGAATAAGATGAGGGATGCAATTTTGACAAAGGAGGACGGTGAGGAGGATGAGGCTGATGAAAAAGAACACGAGGAGCCTCCTGCTGCTTCTGCTCCGTCTTTTGTGATTGCGACGGCGACGGCAGCGGATGTGAGGCCATAGAATGTTAGTGACGAGGAGAGCTCCGTGCAAGGCTTTGCTTGCCGGTGAAAGTGCAGAGTGTTTGAAGATTGAGGAGAATAAACTTAATCACTCACCGTCGAGGGCTAACAACGCTAGCAGAGCGAAGTTGCCGCCGAAATTGAGAGCCTCTCCTGAGTCCCAGTAATCAAGACCCCATCGTTGGAATTGAGAGCCATCCGGCGACCATTCTAAACACAACACTGAAGGTTATATCTCCAAACAATTTCTCTACATCTCACACGAACAAGGTACTGATTCCAAATTCTAATCACCATTATTGTTTAAATCTACCCAACGATTGTAGGTATCTTTCATGTCTGACGACTTCACCTCGAACCCTCTCACATGTTTAGGCATCTCCAAGCGATTAGGACCTTAGGGGATGACAAGTGGCTATCTTTGACGATGAAGCATTCCATGACAATCTCCTGACTGCTCACAATCACAAGCCATGCACTGCTGGCTTTTAATAGTGGCTTTCTGGGCATAGTTCTGTTTTTTGTAGCTTCTTGTTACAGAGAAATAGCATAGAGTAGAAAGAGTAAGAATGTAAAGATGACAATAATGGTTGATTGGAATATCATAGGGATTATCAAGTGCAGATCCACTTTGAGTCTAGTGCTATTTTAGTCGTGGCTCTTCACTGAGAACGGATTAGAAGACTCGACAAATTCAAAAGTTGAAGAATTAGGTTGCCAAGTGTTTCAAAAAGTGGGCCCCATCAACTTTGGCTAACTACGTTTATGAGGATTTAAGGCGGAGGGCAAAATTGTTTCATTTTAATTAATTAAAGAGTAACATTATTATGATAAATATTTTAAACTATTAAATGCTCCTTTCAAATACATTAAAAGCAAAAACGTACATTAATTCTTTATTCAAATTCCAAATAATTTTAGAATATCAAATAAGTCCTTGCTCCTTAAGTGACATTTTATTATTATTCTAACATTTACATGGATATGCAACTTTGTATGTTAATTTTACAATTTTATTGTGATAAATTTATAATTTATTTTTTTAATTTTAATAAAGAACACAATTTGCAAGTCTAGTTCACAATTTTGAAACTTTGAACTGTTGAATTTGATACTTGTTTTTTAAATTTTAAGAGAAAACATAGATGTTAATGTTTAAATTTGAAAAGTAATAAATTTATTATACTAATAGCTTTAAAAACTTACAAATTTGGCTCCCCATTTTACAATGTTTGACCAATAAATTTATAATTTATTTTTAAAATTTTAAAAGGGAACACAGATTTTAATTTCTGAAGTTGAAAAGTAACAAAACAGCGTTAAAGATTTAAAAGTTTAGCTCCTAATTTTACAAGTTTGAATAAATAAATTTTCAACTTATTTTTTAAATTTTAAAAGAAAACATAGATGTTAATATTTAAAATTAAAAAAAGCATCGAAGTCATTATTTAACTATAGAAGTTTGCAAGTTCAATTTTCAAGTTTGCTTTGAGCTGACGAATTTCCAATTTATTTTTTAAATTTTAATCATATATTTAACTTAACAGTATGGTAATCAATTTCTTTTGAAGTTAGATTTGTGTTAAAAAAAAACATGGGACATTGTTAATAGTTTGAAATTTGTTAACTTAAATTAATTAATCTACTTGAAACTTGATTGTTATTCTCCCTCATTTACTTTCAAGCAACCTTATTTAACTATCCAGTAAAATTTGATTCTTGAGACGTCAAGAATCATTTTTGCCCTCAAATTTTTTGCCTAGAACCTAATGGCATCGCGAATTGAATTTTAAGTCATTTTCATCCTAAAACAAATGAAAAAAAGAAATAATTTTAAAATTATCAATTAATTTTAACCAATATTATTTTTTGTATAAATTAGTTCAAAAGTAGCTTATAAATAAAAAAGACGAGCATAATACATATGCTCAAACAAGTATTTGCAAAATGTTTCAACTTCCTAGAAATCGGATCTTCAATTTCCTTTCTTTAGAACAGTTGCGAGCTCCAAATTGACATTAATGGTTGAAAGAACTCAACTGTTCATAGCAACTGTATGACAAGCGTCGAAACAATTATCCAAAGATCGTAGTAGTAATCAAACCAGCGGAAATCAACCTAAATTTGATTCCTTTAATAATCATCATTCTTTTATTAGAATGCTAATTTTAAGCCTATGAAGCAGTACATCCTTCAAATCCCACTAACGAGGAGATACCTTGACTATCACACCCAAAAACAAAACCAATAGAAAGGTCTACCATGGAACCGGGGGAAAAAAGACGCAAAAGGAGGGTCAACCTTGAATTTAAGTCAGCTTCCAGAGACAAACAATCTAGTTAATCTCGCAACCTAAAATCATTGCTTCCTCTGTCCAATTACACACAATTAACAGGTAAAAAAAAGGGGGAACAGGTTTTCAGACACCGTCAATTTAGATTCCAAGAAAAAGAATCAATGAAAAAATCATGCGTTGCTAGTTTTAAACTGCTAGATCCCACCAAAGATAATTGAGCAAAAGGGGGAAAAAAGCTACATTTTATCTTAATCCTAGTGGCAGATATTGAACATCCTTTAGTATCTGTTGTAGGAGAGCTACAATCACATTTTTTTCCCTTCACTTGCAAGCAAGCCAAACACAATTCTGAAACATTGACTGAACCTTCCCTTTTAGAAGAAGATACAGCTAACTGAAAAGAATATTAGGGTTGGAAGGAGAGGAATTATAACAAAAAAAGAAAAACAGAGAGAGAGAGAGAGAGAGAGAGAGAGAGATGCTGCCCATCCAGAAACAAAGTCAGGTCCGCCTACCCGGGAATTCGGTACCGGCCACTTCTGGATTCTTCCCTAAAAGCTGTCTGCTAATAACTTTGAAGGGCGCTTGTAGTGAGAGTTAATGTAGCCTCCAACTCAATGGGTGTTAGGAAGAAAAAAATGCCTTCTTCTCCACAGCAACCCAAAAACTGGTTAATTAAGCAAATGCACGTCCTCTTCAATCCTCACCTTTATGCATAGTACATGTACAAACTATTTGCAGCAGCACAGGCAATTGAATTTTCGGTCGGATGCCATGCTAAGTGCAGCAACTTTGTAGTGAAATCAAAGGAGTTCCCATTTGCATCGACACCCGGACTATCAGCTCCTGATAAGATTATGAAATATTAGAAATCAGCATGTGCGCGCGCGTGCGCACAAATAAATGGCCAATATAATTATATAAAATACCTCGTCTTACAACTCGAGTTAAACTACTTCCCAGTGATCTAGCTGGCCTTGCAGGGGTCTGAACTTGTCGCCTGAGGCAACCAAGAAAAGTAATTTATATGATAAGACGCTTCAAAAAGTATACTTGGTGACAGAGCTTACAGTAACACTACCTCATTGGGTTTTTACTGGCTTCCAAGGTTGCAGCCTCAGTACTTCCTGGGATGCAGCCAAACACACGAAATAGGTTGCTGATGCCACAAAGAACACGTAACTTGTAAGATTAAAATCAAACAATTTCAATGACCATAGAACCCCAGAAGGCGTAAGCAAACACAGACCTGTAAGAACCAGTCGCTACGCGCAACCCATCGCCACTCAGACAACACTCAAACTTGTCAAAAATTGAATCATTTTCATATAAATCACAAAGCTGGCACATTGAAATGAAAGCATAGATATTATAACTCAATAAAGCAGCAAAATTCAAGGCTCCATATAACTCAATAGACAGGAACCCAACCTTAGGTCTTAGATATTCATGAACCTGGAAAGTTGCAACCGGGCCAGAATCCATATTAATGTCCCACAACTACAGCCAAGTAACAATGACAAATGAGAAACCTCCAGAGTAAGATATTCTCATGCAATCCTCAACAATAGATCACTAATTATTACATCTTTAACTGAAAGGTAAATTCATCTGACATAGAACAGAAAAGCAAAATGTATAGAAACAAAGTGACAAAGGGAATATGTTGGCATGTTCCGCCAAACAAACAACTGTAAATGCATATTAGCTTGTTAAAAAATCTATCGGACAGCATTTAAAATTGTCAAAAGTTTTAACAGAAGAGTAGATTCTGATATTTCAAACCTTTAGAGTCATGTAATCACGACTAAGTATATATCTTCCATCCTTCCCAAATTTTATATCTGAAATTGAAGCAATAATCTCTGTAAAAAACGATCTGGACCCTGGGGCCTCCTGTTCCTCAAATCTGCAACAAACAGTGTTTGCTTGTTAGAGCCGAAAACACAAGAAACTAATGTAAACTTATGGTGCAACAGGCCTTAAAAAAAAAAAAAAAAAGCTTTTCTCAATAAACATTATGTTAAGTGTCCCAAGAAAGGGGAGCAAATAATCTCTCATGTAACTAATCTATAGGGTAGATGCTTGATAAGAACTGTAAACCTGGTTGGGAGGAAGGTGAGACTTATTTGTTAGGAGCAAACAAAGAAAAAAAAAAAAAGAGCTCACAATTTGGCATGAGTATCACACAATGCTGATTGGCGCAGATCAACAAGACGGATCGAACCCTTTGAACTGCTATAGGCCAACATATTACAATGGGTAGGATGAAACTCGGCTGATGTTATAACCTCTGTGTAATCAAACATCCAAGGTCAAGATTCACCGAACACATCAAGTAGAAACAAAACTGAGATAGAAGTGAAGGAAGTTTAAAACTATGGAGTACTAACAAAAGGAAAAGTTGACGCGAGTCTTAAATTAATCCAACCAAAACAAAGAATTGGAAAAAACCTGGTTATGAAGCCTTCTCATGGACATGCTTAAAAAATACAACGGAAGAACAAGTAACCATTTGTGAAGCCCACAAGGACCTCACAACAGAGCAAATAAAAGTCAGTTATGCATTTTTGCCTCGAATCTGAGAATATGGGGTGAATCCTAAGTACTTCTAAGTTTCATCCATTAGTTTGCATCCTTCAATCAATAGTGAATCAACCAATTTCAATATTCATGTTTTATCTTCTAAATCATGATACCTATAACCCACTGAAAACGATGATACTTCACATTTGTTATATCAATGATTTGGTAGAAATACAAGTAAAATGCTGGTAACTAGAAAATCCACAAAAGGTTCGTTCAATATTACAATAGCAATCTAAACTTTTGGATCTGAAAATGACAACTCAGCATATCTGCAATTTCTATTCACAAGATTGCGATACTTTAAGAGAGTTCAAATGGAGAGATAATGAAATTTACAAAATACAGTCAACAAAATCAATAACAAGAAACAACGTTTCATATAAAAGGCCACATGAATTAAGCCCCATTAACTGATAAACCATCATATTAAAAGAAATAAATAATTCAGAGACAGATATCAATGAGAAAATTTACAAATTCAAGAAGATTTACGCTTGTCAATCAACTACAAGAGATAACCACTTTTGCTAGATAATTCAAACAACTACAAACCAAGAAATATGTTTAGCACATATACAATGGAGAAGCCTTACCAGTCAGATCCTCCATGTTTGCAGGCTTTACATCTACAATATTAAAACTTTGGCTGCTAATTTCTAGGTTCCACAGATTTATCCGCAAATCATCAGCAGATATGAAAGTTTCACCATCACTACAAATATGAGAAACACATCATGGCCATGTAGATTAGTATTCACTTAAGTTTCAGAAAAACATGCAAGAAATAAAAGAACAAGAAAGTTAATTCTGAATAGTGTTAACTAGAAGCCACATTTCTGAGCCAATAATTAGTCCATGTTCAGAAAGAAAACACGATGAAAAAAATGAAAGCAAGATTTGAAAATGAACAGCTTATAAACAGAACATGAACTTCGAGGATTTACCAATTCTACCCAGCTAGATAGCTAAACACACAATGTGCTAAAAAATCTAGAATCACCTGTTACTTGATATAGAATTGATATGGTAATCATGAGCATGGGCATATACTCTACGGCATCGTGCTACAAGACTGGTCTCATGGCTGGTTACCTGCATATTGCATAACTGAGGTGTTATTAACGTAAAGCATCAACAAGACACTGTCAAGGTTAAAGTATGAAAAAGAAACTTCAACACAGCAATTTGCCTCCATCTTTTCTATAGTATCATTGCACAGGGAGAAAAGAACATTAAAAAAAAAAAATACAGTAGTGAAAGGAATAATGATGATGATGATAAAGACTTCATTCTTCAGTTTTTACCCCAAGCTTTGGGGGGGGGGGGTTTTCCGCATGAGCATCCTCAAAAATGCCAGTGATCGCACTATCAGTAATATTTAGTAGTTGATTTGAAAAAAAGCATGTACAATTAAAAATAGGATCAGAAGCGTTTGACTATGCAAATCAAAGTGTGATTTCTCTAAATTAAATCATTCCCATTAGGCAAAAATAGGCACTGATGCCATCTGCATTTTTCAATTCACATTCTCAGAAGCCAAATATGCTGTGTTCCAATAGAGCCCTTTATATCCTTCCTTCAACTTTTTAGACACTTGAATGCACATCAACACAATGAAGAGTTTGATGTGGCATATTCACAAGTAAATTTATTAAAGACACGTTGTTTACATTGAACATTCTCTCCTTTAATCAAACCTTGAAATTCATTAGTGATTCATCATGCCTTAACCAAAAATTAAAAGAGAAGGAAAAATGGGATATTGTTATCCTTCATGATTTAGTGCAACTTATACCATAGTACATGTGTAGCTTAGCAATGGTTTTATTATTTTTCTTCAGCTCCTCAAGATGACACCAGCTATCCCTGCAATGGTTTTGCGACCTAACATGTTCAATTAAAAATTACCTAAACCGAAGTAGGAAAAGATAAGATGGGGAAATGTTAGTTATATTCCAAAATGATCAAAACCTTGAGCAGCATAAACAATTCGTTAGCCAACAGGGGAAAAAAGAGTAGCATGACGAATTCAACCAGAAACGCACAACTACACTTCTATTTCAGAAACACCTCCCAGCCAACAGACAAGATGGCTGCAGCTCAGTCTTCACACAGAGTAAGGCCTTGGAAGGTGATTGTTGAGTTTTGTCTATTTCATATTGTCTTTTATTTATTAGTTCAATATAGCCCCAAGAAAAATCATAAGATAGGATCTTATTATCTGAGAAACATAAAAAGAAAATGAATGGCAGAAAGAGGTGCTGAATACAACTACCACAGGTAATCTTAATGATGGGATGCCCCCAGGTGGAAATGAGAAGTCACTGGTCAGATAACAGTATGATTTATCTGGAGATCCTCCATTTGCAAGATATGGCCTAGGGCTACTTGAATCACTTGAACTAGCGATACTGCCAATACAGCCATTTGCCATTGCTTTCGAAGGGTCAACATTCATCTCAGATATTTTCTTGACCTTCTTTTCTTGAACCTGTTCAACACTTCAACTCTCAGATGAAGGCAAAGAGAATAAGCAGTCTCGGAGATATCATCAATCATTTTATCCACATGGAAACCAACACAAATAAAACAACCGCTTAAAGTTTATACAGATTCACAAGAAAATATTCAGCTCTCATGATTCAGAACATTTCAATTACGATGTATTTCACAGCATGCCATTCTTAAATCTACTTTATTTCTTCAAAACATGTGACCATCGCAATGGCTCCAGGCCATTAGTAAATAGTATAAAAAGCGATTGAGGAGATAAAGAAACTACAGCAACAACAAACTGTGCAAATGCACAAGATTATATTCAATTGTACTGATAAAATTTCAATTATAATTTATTTCACTGCATGAGCTTTTTTGAATCTACTTCATTTCATCAAAATATGTTATCATCTCAATGGCTCAAAGGCCTTAGTAAAGTAGGTACCCAAAAAATCAACGAACCATACTTCCATATTAAAACTTGAGATTAAATTGAAAAAGCTCTCCACCTATGCACTTGTGAAATGAAATGCTTACACATGCACATGCCCCAAAAGTCATCCTCTAATTGTAAAGTTTATTGGCTGGCTGAATAACCAAATCATAATTTATAAACGTTGAATCTGAGTGCTAAATTAAAATATCCAAGTATAATTCAAACATATGCAACTCAGAAGCTAAAAAAAATCTTCATAGAAAGATACACTGGTAAAACAAGTGTAAGGATCCTCCAGAGTTATTTATTACAAGGTTCTTGAAGAGTTCAAAGATGAGTGTCACAAAGAATGGAAGCGCATAGTGGCCCAATTCCCCCTTTTTCTCATAACCACTTTTCTAGGATCCATACTCAGAAAAATTAAGCAAAAAAAGATGTCAACCAAACTTTCACAGATGTGCAACCTTGTGCATAATCTATTCAAGGATTAATAAAAGAAAGCACTCAGCAATTCAGTATGCTACAGGCAGGCATTAATTTGTTACCTTCCAATATTTGATGGTTTTATCATTTGTAGATAGAAGAAACAAGGCACCATTAGCTGTTTGGCACCATCTGATTTTGTTTATTTTCTCTTCGATTTCCAAGCTCTTTAGATAATCGAACTGACAAAAGAAAAGTGATCATATTACAAAACATTGACATTTTTTATTAGATAAAATATTAAACCTTAATATTTATGAGCCATAACAAGTTGGCACATCAATAACAAGAAAATTATTATTACCTCAGGTTCATGACTCTGAAACTCAGTTTTGTATCGGAACTCAGGATGCCTACTTATTGTATAATCCATCCTTTCCAAATCCCTTCTTGATCCTCCATGCTGCATGTTACAGCATCCATCCATTTAAATTATAATAATGTAAGCACATAAAGTGGAAACCATCAAAACAAAGTTTGTTACAATAATAATCTGCAGAAGGAACAGCCAAACTTACATCTTTCAAATCAGTCCTCTCAAATAGAACTACTCGACCACCACGATCACCAGTAGCAAGATGATCACCAGACTTGTCAAATTCAATGGCAGAAATGATGTCCACTGAGAAAGAAGAAAATAGGCAAACTATTAACAAATGTTCACATTACCCAGCAAGAAAATCTAAAACATGCTTATCCCCCACTCTGAATTGGAGAACTCCACCATGCTGTTAATGATGTCTAGACATCAAGAGTAAATGCCCTATGATTCACTAGTTTAATCTAAACAAACCCCACATCAGGACAGCAATGCTTTATAGTCCCTTGAGCCACCACTTAATTACAATTTGAATTAGCATGAACATAAAATAATAGAAATCACAATATTGCATCTGCATAATAAGATACTGTAGTGCATCTAGCAGCATGCCAGGTACTCCTTAGCCCTTAGATCATTCAACCTACAAACAGCCCACTCCCACTCTCTCACACATCTAAAGCACCCAATCCATATTCCACTTGATGGTTTAAAAAAGCAGAATGTCGAACTATAAAGGAAAAGGCAAGACCATATCTTGAACAGTAATCAACATATATCACTTGATGATGCTTTCTGAATAACTGCAACACAATCCTACATCACCCAATAGTTAGAATATCAAAGGACTTCCGCCCCGGAATCTAGCAACATCATCATCATGTCCAATCTGGCGTCATTGACCAAAATTTGAAGATTTTGTAGAGTCGCTATAAGGTACAAACAACAATCCGATCCTTACAGTCATTTTTCAACGTCACTCATCACTTTACACATCGTCGAGAAGTCATAGATTACCAACTACAGAAATTTTTAATACATCACAGAGAACTGCTTGCAATACAAGCACCAGCTATAAAAACGGCCAAATACAACCATAAAGTCTAACAGCTCAGCTTCACACCCAATCATTCAACCTAGTAAAATCATTATGCAAGAAAAACTTGCAAACACCACCCGGCTAATAAATAAACAGCTAACGGTCAAAGAATCCATTCCACGCCTGAAACCCAATATTTCCCCCAATCAAATGAGACCCCCAATTACACAATGATTACACAATATTTCCCCCAATCAAATGAGACCCCCAATTACACAATGATTACACAATGGCCGGCGGGCCGAAACAATAGGTAACTAATGAACCTCGATCCAAAATAGATCGAGAGCACAAAACCAAACCCTAATCCCAATATACGCGAAATCCATCAGTTGGATCCGACATGTCACAAACACGAATCCTCAATACAGCATATTAAAATTACCTTCCTGAACTTCCTCCCCGGCCGTACGTTCCCCAAAAACCTGCGAGAATTTCCACTCCAGCGGCTGCGGTGGACCCGCCGGAGCTGCGACGACTTCATCGCCACCGTTCATTTGTCAGGAAATGGAATCAACGACCCCCAAAAAAACACGACTGAATCGGCCAATCTAATCAGCGCATCGAAGATCGCTTTCTGTGCCTACAAGATCATAGCTTCAATGACCCATACGTTCTCATAGCCTTCATTGGATTTCCAGTTGAAAAATTGAAACACTCAAAAAAAAAAAAGACCAAAAATTTGCCCTCGCCTGCAATCTTCCCTATCTGAGATTTTTCTGATCTCTCTCTCTCTAAAAGGAGAAAAATGGCAATTTTGGGATTAATATGTCTAAGCAAACCGTTCTATTTAGCGTCGGAAGAACTCGCACACAGGACATACACACACACTATGACCAACACACTTGTTCTAGTTCTTTAGTCTCAAAAATAGGATTTTTCGTACGTAAATTTATTAATTCCCTATTCCAAGAGAACCTCACCCACCGGTGACACAACGATGTGAAGTGCGAGATTTGATTGGACGATGGTGGTGGTGGTGGTCAGAAAAAACACTCGCACAGGAAGGCACGGTGATGGCTGTGTGGATAGCCAAGTGGGATAAGAATAAATTTAGAATATTAAGATTTGATTGAATTAAGAAATTGTTAAAGGCCCAGAAAATTGTGGGAAGAAAAAGGTAAAAGGATGAGATTGTCTGAAATGACAGGCTCGTCCTCTGCGTTTTCATATTTTGTGTCCGAGTCTGATGAATAAAAAAATTATGAAGTTATATATTTATCGATTGACAACTCCGAGATGTTCCTTCCCATGTTATACTAAAATTAAAAAATAAAAGAAGAATTGCATTGATCCATATAAAAAAAAAATTATTACCAAAGCGTCTCATCATGAGTTTTATAAAATATTTTTAAATCTTAAATCTAATATATTGACAACTTGTAAAATGATCGTTTTATAGTTATCAATATCCTTAATTAAATTGTCAATAATTGATTAAAAAAATTAAGTTGTCAATACAATAAATTTGAGATTTAGGAGTACTTCCTTTAGTCCACTTTATTAGCCATCTTTTAGAAAAGAGAAATGGTCTACTTTATAAATAATTAAATTGATAGTAATATTTTATTTCAAATAAAATATTCAAATTACCTTTAAAAAGTAAGAGAGAGAAACAAAAAATGATATTATATAATTTATTTATTTTTAAATGTTATGTTTGTAATTTTATTAAATTTTATTCTTTATATTTTTATTATATTAATATTGATGAGATTAATAAAAATAATTTATAAATAAAATTGAAAAAAATGTTTTATAAAATTTATAAAATTTTTTAATAATAATTTTTTATATATGAAATCTCAATGTAATTTTTTCAGTAATAAAGTTTGGCCACACGCAGTACAAGACCAAGATATGACATGACCAAACGGCCGAGGATTGCACTCCAAAGTTAAAAAAAAAAAAACAAACAAACAAACAGATTTTTGGCCTCTTTCACTGGTTCGTCTTGCCAGTGCCCGATTATGAGTATTCCAAAAAAAAAAAAGAAATGAATATAGTTTTTTTTTTATAACCATGCAAGGAATATAATATTTTGGAGCAGGGGTTGTGAATTTACAATGGGCTTAATCTGTTATTGGGCTTTATTAAATTGGGTTAAAAAAGCAGCCCAAATACACCTTTCATGTCCACAAACAATCCCATGAGGTCGGTTAAGGAGGTCCATCAGAGTCTCATGCAGTACTCTCTCTCCTCTCACCTGCTGAAAAGGGCGAATGACAAACAGAGACAAAAGCCGACAAGAAGAAGATAATTAACCCACATTTGTAGGTTTGTATCTAAAGTTATAACTCGTTATGGTTATCACTCTAAAGATGATTCCATAATTACGCTTTGTCACTAATCTGAAAAGAGTGCATATTGTGTTTGATTAAGACTTCCCAAGCCGTAACATTTTATGAAAGTTTCTCTTGTATACTTTGGAGAGTTCACCCACTCAGGCAATGATGTGATGTGACCATTAAGTCGTGTAAGTATTCTTTTGTATTGCGCTTGTTTTCGTACTCAACAATGTCGATTCGGGAGGAGCAAGTTTCACCACGTTAAACCAATTGCTACTACCAATTCTCTTAGTATATTACCCTGTATCCTAATAAAAGATTTCTTAGATAATGTTTACAGTTGTTTTTTTTTTTTTAAGATGAAATGGGAAATCTTATATCATTGTTTTGAAAATTTTTTTAAAAGATGGTGAAATGACTTGGGGTGACCTTTCAAATCATTCCTTACCATCATAATCCCATTTTTTCACTTCTAATTTGGGAGATTGAAGATGGAATGATGTAATATAAATAATATAATAATATTATTATTATAAAATTACCCTTATCTTTCTCATTCTCTCACTCTTCCTTATCGTAAAATTGGAAAATATAATTATATCCAACTCAAATATATTAATTTTTGTAATTATTCTTAAATAATGATTAAATAAATCATTTATTCTTTTAATAAACTTCCAAAAAAAAAGGGAATGTTCTTTTCCATTTTATCTCGTCTCACTTTTCTCCATTCTATTCCATTGATAACTGTTTCTTTTCATTTCATGCGTATGCTCTCAAATATTCCCTTCCATGTGTCTTGAAGGTTTGCAAGGCTTTGACTCATTAGTAACAAATCCAGTCCTTTTGAGGCAGGTTTGAAAGTTAGGACTCCATGGAGAAACAGCTATAGGACTAAGGAAGGTAGTGAGAGGACTTGGAAGGGAAGTGAGAGGCAAGAGATGCCAGGTACAAAGTAGTCTTGCAAGACTGAGGTTAAAGAGATATGGAGGTGTGGTCATGTAGCGTTATAGAAGAAGAAGGTTAACACCATTTAGTGCTTCTTCTTTTCTTTTCTTTTTTTTTTGGTTGAGGGTGGAATTGTACGATTATTTTAATTAAAAATAGTGGGATGATATTATATTTTTTTAATACTTTAAAATATCAATTACATTTCGTTAAAAATATTCAAGATAGATTTGTATTTTAATAACCCTTCAATTTATTTAATGGTAGGTGGAATAGAAAAGGTATTTGAGAATGAAAAGGAAGGTAAGAGTGAAATTGAAATAAAGTCGTCTGGCTTAAAATAAATAAATAAATACTATATATGTCTCATGATATACTTTATGAAGTTTAAAAAAAAAAAGAGTTATATTATTCATGAGTGTTCCGAATAAAATTCAAAAAACACACTGAAAATTTAAAGAGCAAACCATAAAAAGAAAAGAAAAAAGTGACCACAATATATTGAGATTCCGAGAAGACATATTGGTTTTTTATTCTTATCACTTTCCTTTTGGGCTTGAATTTTTTTGATCCCCTCCCCCCTCTCTTTGCTTTTATAGTTGAAACATATGTGCGTGGAATATTTGGTTTGGTCATCTTTCACGATATAATTAAAACTTAAAAGGAATTGGGAACTGATGCAGATTTGCAACAAGTGCGAGCCCATAATTTTGATTGTTTTTTTCTATTTTTTTTAAATTTACCCCTACTTTTTTTTTTCTGTGGGGTCAAATTTGTCATTTGATGGGTCTAATAGAAATGATTAATTTCTCATATGACCAATCTTGGTTTGAACCCCACTGAGATAGATACTTATATTTATTAACTTTGAACAGGATCATCTCCAATAAAAAAATATACATACATAATAAAAAAAATGGTAGTAGAAACCAATCTCCCTCTCATATACAGGGTAAAAGGCAAATTCCTTCAAGCTAGGTTGTGTCATGCACAAAAAAAAAATTAAAAATTAAATTCTCAACCACTTACTTTGAAAATAGAGTTTTTGCCACTCATATCAATATCAACATGAGTTGGTAATTTTCTCCTACTTTAACTAAGTTAGAGAAAATCCGTTGTATTTTATATGTGGATGATCAGCGGCCCGATTAGCTAGTTGTGAATTTTTTTTATATGTAAATTCCTCTTTCCTAGTTATAAGATCCTACTTTTAACTAGGGCTGTGCATGGGCAGGGTTGGGTAGGGCAATCCATTAACCCGATGCCCTGCCCTAAATGTCTTCGGGCAAAAAAACTATGCCCAAAACCCGATCCTACCCGAAAGATGCCCGACTTTGGAGGGGCCGGGCCGGGCAGGGATCGGGCACCTCGGGCAGGGTCTCCAACCTTGCCCTACTGAAATAAAAAATCAGAACCATCCACACAAATCTGAAATACACCGTAGCAAATTAATTATTTCCATCAATAAATCACTTCAAGCTCTTATTTTAAAAGTAATAGATTGTTAAATATCACTAGCAAAAATATTATGGTGTCATCAAAAAACTTAATGGCAAAACAAATATGGAAAGAATTTTTCATGCAAGTCACAAGTGCTGTCCAATTCCAAATTCTAAGAAATATAAAATATTTAACCTAAGGTTTACAAACTTGACCATCAAGGCATCTAAAAAAAAAGAACTACCATTTATGTCCCCATCAAGTTAAAAAATTATATCCTAAATTATTATTTTTATAAAAAATATATTATATCTCGGGCCGGGTAAGGTCAATTGGTTGGATACCCCAGCCCTAAACCCTGCCCAACCCGAAGATCGGGCTCAGCCCGACCATGCCCAAGCAGAATTGGGCAATTTTTTTAAGGCTCGGGTTGGGCATATTTTGCTCGGGTCGGGCCGGGCATCTCGGGCTCATGGGCATCCTGCACAGGCCTACTTTTAACATGAGGCCTTTACAAAATTTCATAAAATATTTATTATTCTTTCTCAAGTGTCATTGTCTCTTCTACTGCTCCTAACCAAGGACTTCTTCGTTTCCCCTCCAATGAACTGTACTTAATTAACAAAGAATAAGTTTAGGATGTTGTAAAAAAAATTATGCATTTAACTAATTCTCTTAATATATAACTAATTTTGATATCCGGCACTTACATTACAGTGTAATAAATTACTTGCTTATAATGAGAGTGGTATTAAGAACATAGAGAACAAAAAAAAAAAAAACTATTAAAGGAAATATAAGCAAGAAAAATAGAGTTATGTAAAAATTGTGTTAGGAGTTAGTATTTCAGGTTAAACTTGATGGGCCATCTCAAGTAAAGTTGGAAAAAATTTTAAGGTTAGGCTTTGTAAAATTATATATTTTTAATGTTCTATTTAAGCCAGTTTGAAGAGACTTGAAAAAATTCAAGTCAAGTTCCATTAAGTTGGAGGTTTTCCTTGAATACCCCAATAATATTTTACTTTTTTTATTAAATATTAATTAATTTTTTTAAATTTTAGTATCTTTTATATCTTTTTACTAGTCAGTATCTTTTTATATTAAAATATCATATATTTAAGTATATTATTATAAATATTTCAAAATTAGTTAATAAATTTATTCCCTCACCCTCTAGATACAAGGTTGT